ATAAAAGAGAAAATTTTTTTAACAAAAAATTTTTAATTATTATTTATAACATTTGACAAAAAATTCTTTTCGTACATATAATTCCATTGCATTCAGAATAATATTATGACATAAAAAAATTCAAATTAATTATTTATAAGCTTGTAGCATCAGGTTCACATATGCACGCCTGTTCAACTATCAATACAACGATGCTACACACTTATATATAATTAATTTTAATTTTTTTATGTCATAATATTATTTTAAATTCAATGGAATTATATGTACGAAAAGAATTTTTTGTCAAATATGATAAATAATAATTAAAAATTTGTTGTTAAAAATTTTTTCTTTCTTATTATTAAAAATATTGTATTTTGAAAACATATAAAATTATTTTTGGATTCAGCGTAAAAAATACATCAAATTAAAAAAAGAAAGATAAAAATCGGTAAATAATTAACGAAGTTATGACAATTTTTGCAAATTTGAACGGCTGAATTGAGTTGTGGCGGCGAGAATCACGCTCCTCCGAGTACCCCCACTCCGCCGTTCAGAGGTTGAAAAATGGATACATTTACTTTTACTTGATATAAATTAAAAATAAATGCACAAAACCTTATGTCCAATTTTTTTTCATAAAATACATACATTGAACTATAAGTGGTATGAATTGCAATTAAAAATATTGATAATTAACTAGTCAGGAATTTTTTGAAAAAAATAAACTAACTCCCCCCTCCTTGAAGCTAGGTCGGATTTTTTTTTGGAAAAGTTTTGTGAAAACGAATGAAATTTAAATCCCTTTACACCAAATCGATAAAGTGAAAATTGACTGAGTTATTCCATTTGTTTATGTCAAAAAAACATACCCTTTTTTAACGTCTATTATTATGCACTTAGATAAGAAAAATCAATTTCCCATTTAAATGGAATCAAAGTTTGACTCCTAAACTGTACTCTCGAAGAAAAAAAAACGAAATTCGCAGGTCCAAAAGTGGGGAAATTCTGTTGAAAAATTTCATGTTTTTAGTTAACAAATGGAATAAAACATAAACTATTTGTCCGATCGAGTTGACTTTTTTTTTAATTTATTCAGCTTCGCAAGGAGAATATTCCTGGTGAGTTGTAAACAAATTCAATAATTATTAACAAAGTTATTAAACAATTAAAAAAGTGCTATTTTTAATGGTTTAAATTCATTTGCAACTAAACTAATTAACCTTTTTCAACGTATGACCAATCATTTGAAAGGTATTTTTAGGCTCTACAACTTTCAATAACAACTTTTTCCTCTAAAATTTAACCGGAAGCAAGGGTCATCGAAAAACTACGTTTCTCGAACTTTGACGATTGTTTACACTATTTTTTGCAACCGGAAATCGAGAGCAAACCATGGTGCTCTTATATGGGGCCCCCAAACTACAAGAAACTATTGAGACTTTTCCAGTTGCACTTTTGTGCACTTTTTGCACTCACCGACTGGCCTATTAGTATTTTTTCAAAAACATTCAAAGGAAATGTTTTCCTTTAAATTTTATCTGACAGTTATTGTAGAAAAATGAACTATTGCAAGAATTAGCTGATTAAATACTAAATGAATATATAAAATAGAATTTCAAATTTATCTGGACAGTTGAAAAAAATCTGTTTAAATAAATATGTTTGACTATTGACTGACTTATCCCTGCTTCTATTAAAGAACTTATTTGAAAACGAAAACAAATTTTTAAAAAATTCAATTTGTAAAAATAAGGTCAAAACTTGAAATAAATTTTAAATACACTATAGGTATAGGAAAAATAAACCTATTGTTTTAAGAGACTTTTTTTGGCACATTTCAAAGAAATTTAGATTTGAAATTCGGCTTAGGCAACAGGGGGGAATGTATAAAATGCGTTTTGTATACGGATGGGAATAAAGTTGAAAGTGGAACTATTTACCATAGAATCGGAATAGTTCTACTATACTCGGCGGAGGAAAAGCGTTATATTACTATCTTTTCTGTTGTATTTCTATATATATATAAAATAAAGGGTATAGCGATGCCGAGTCTGACTATTCCCGCATGTACCAAATTTCCATACGCCCATATTTGTTTTCCCCATTCTCGATATTAAAACGCACGAAAGGATAGAAATGCGGCACGTAGATATCACCGCGATATTCATATATGTATCTTCGATAAAAGTGCATGTCACACAGAAACTTTTTTTTCCCTGCAAAGCAATATGTAGGAGAATTTGAGAATGCATCTGCATCCAACGCTTTTGACCGTCACTCTCTTCCTCTCTCTCTCTCTCTCTCTCTCTCTTTATTTTTCAGTTTCTTCACTTCAAAAAAATAAATAAAATATATATTTTTGTCAAAAGTAAATAAAAATACGAATAAAACATTAAACTCGACAAAAATTGTATATTTCCGATAAATAATTAAATGAAAATAAATAGAGCTGTGCAAATTTCAAAAATTCGATTCTCTCCATAAGAATTAACATGGGTTCGATTCGGTTCGAATTTCGAACCCATGTAAAATTCGAATTTTTGCACACCTCTAAAAATAAACAAAAAGGTGAAATTAAAGAAAAACATGAAAGTAAATAAAAAAATACCAAAAGAAAATATTAGATTACACGATAAAAATTGAAACTTAATCAAGAAACTGCTCAAGTTTTACTTTACACTCAACAAAATTGGAAACGAAACTGATCTCTATTTGTAAGGAAGCCGGAAATTAAATAAGGCGCTGTGGCATTCAGTATATTTAATTAACAAACAATAGTCGGTGATTATTGGTTTTTTCTTCAATTTCAATTGTGATACTAGAAGAGAAAAAGAATGCAAAATTTAGATTAAAAAGAAATTCTTTTTACAAAATGTCTAATATGAATTTTTTATTAAAATTATTAATTACACTAGTTGAAATTAGTATTAGGAATTTTGAAAGAAACTCAAATTCAGAGAGTGCTTATGTGATTTATAAAGGGTTTGTTGTTTAATGGAAAATGAAATTCCATCTCGAAATAATAATGAAAATTTGTGTGTGTGTGCGCGCACGATAATCGAGAGAGTGCCCGAGTGAGAGAGGCGTCTTGGGACATTATTTTGTCCCACGAATTGCATCTGGCAGGTACTAAAATTTAGATCTTAACTAAAACACATCGTCACATCACGCGTCATATATTATTGTGTGTTGTATATATGCATCCGCTCTACTTGACTATATGATTTTGGAACAATCTCGCTTCCCGCTGATTGGCCAGAGATTCATTCTCGTAGCGCAGATTACGCTGCTGAGAGTAAACTCATCAAAAACGACCACAATATGAGTCTCTCTCTCTCTCTCTCAATTATAAACAAAATGCTTCATTAAATTTTTCCTAATAATATCTTTCTCTCGTTATGAAATCATTACAAATTACATTTTTTCATAGCGTAAATTTTCTTTTTACAATTAATTTTTAATTACTCTGCCTTTAGTATATGATTATATCTTTCTCGATCGTCAATTTTTTTTCAAATATTTTTTCATTATTATTATTTACTAATAGTATATTTTATCAATGATGCCCGAATAGGATTATTGGCAGTATTTCCGTGCTGGGCATGGAACCCGAAAAAGGGAAGAAATCAAAAATGTAATTCACAACAATTAAAAATTTAACTCGTCCACTGAAAGAGAATTAATTTGTAAGCAAATTAGAAATTTTACTTAATAAAAGTTTTGCTTATCTTGGGTAGACGATTATTATTCTCTTATCAAAACGCAAATTAAGAAAATATGACTTTAAGAGAAGAGGGTCATTTAATCGTAAATAAAGACAGTTATACTTTTCAAGTAATTAGTCCGGTGAGAGAAAAGTGAGATGAACTTTTCCATAATTCGTTCTCAAGTCTCACTGATGACCCCACGGAGAGGATTTGCATCAATTAATATTTAAATTTCGGTAAAGGTATGGCTTTGTTATTTAGATTAAGAAGTTTTGTGGCAAAAAAGCTTCTTCTTTAAAAATGTAAATATTCGTCTCATACTATATTTAAGGAGAGAACATAAGAAAAAAAGTTACTTTATAGTGAAAGAATATTTAAATATAACTAGTTTGGGGTGTGTGCCGGAAAAACTTTTCAACGCGTGTTTATAATTCAATTATATCACGGTGAATTTCATCAGCATTAATATAACAAAATTTAAGCAAAATATTTTTAATTTCTTTATCTTTCTTATGTTCCAAACATTTCAATATCGTATTTTTTATTTGCAGATATTTAATAAATAAATACTATTTGTAATTTTAAACCACAAATTTAATAAATCCTTTCGATAATTAGCGAAATATAAAAATTACTGACACCTGGTAATTTTTTATTTTTGCGAGAATATAAAATATAATTTTATTCCGTTGATTATTTAATAAAACGCTTACAATTTACGCATAGACGAGCAAAAAGCGGATGAGTGAATTTGTTCAATCTATACATTTTAATGGAATTACACATCCGGAATGTATAATTATTTAAATAACAGAGTCAGGGCGAAAAAAAATTTTTTTGCAATGGCAAAGTATTTTTTTTCTCTACTCGTTTGTAACTTGCAAACATTTTTCCATCTATTTGTTTATCAAGTTGAATCGACGAGAGGAAAGAAGAGAAAGTAATAAACGAAATGCAAATAAACAATTTCAAAAAAACAGAAAAAAATCTGTTTTATAACTTAAAAATTAAACAGAAACAAAAAATTTACAAAAAGTTTATTTAGTAAAATGTAAATAAAGAATATGAAGAAAAAAATTGTGCAAAAATATTGAGATCTGTTTAAATATATATTTTTGTAATTTAACTAATTAAAATTTAGCTTTAATTAAATTTTAAATTAATTAATTAATTTATTTTAATTAATAGTTTAAAAAAATATTTCCGTTTAAATCAGTAATGAAACGAGGTGTAAAATTTTAAATGACAGATTTAATTTTTTCCATGTAAATGATTTTGGAGATAGAATAAAAAATGGAAAAAACTTACCAGTGTCGGTATTGCCAGGTAAAAGAATAGCTTCGTCTCGATACCAGGAGGCAACTTTCAGATGTTCCTTGACTTCCTCTCGTGCCGTACAAGAAAGTACTGCATTGTTTCCAACAACAACAGGAAATCTGTTCACCGTTACATCGTATCCTGGAGCTGTTACCACTGTAAAATACAAAAAAAATTATTTTAATATTTATCGAAACGAAAGAATTTAAATTATGTGAAGTTTAACATCCAATAATAATAATTATTATCAGAAACTTAAATCAATTTTTTCCAGCACTTTACTTTTCTCTGACCTGTGTCAACCCTTGAAATTTAAAATATTTTTAAAATAAAAAACTTGCAGAATTTCCAGGGGATACTTCCATGGAATTTTTCGACGTGGGTTATTTTCAACAAAATGAGGGCAATGTATGAAAGTATAAATTTTTAGAAAAACTAATTCCTCAGCAAATTTGCCAATCGATTAATGCTCCGAGACAATAAATTCTCACGACAGAGACGGACAGTGAATATAGAAACTTTTCGATTTCGAATTCTGCCCTTTCTATATACTCGGGAGAAAAGAACTTTACGACTGATTGGGAGAGAGAGAGAGAGAGGTAAAAGAAAATTGCACAAAAGGGACGAAGAAAAAGCATTTTGGTGAGTTCCCAAAGTTCACGACCTCAGTGTCGGGTTTTCACTTCCGTCACTCATTTTGGGTTTGTTTTCCCTCGAGCGTGATCAGTTAACGCGTCACCTACTTATCGCGGGGCTATTGTCACCAAAAAACGCTCGAACATTTCATCAATTTTCTAGAGAGAGAATTTGAATTTTTTATTATTATTATTATTATTCTATACTTATACTCTCGCGCGATATGTATTTCTACTCGCGAAATTTTCGAACTGGATCAATGTAACTGTGCGATTGTTTTCTCTTTTTTCATTTCTTTTTTTTTAGATTACTCACGTTGATAAAACGTTGAAACGGTTGAGAAAAATATATTGTACGTGTGTATATCGAGAACGATAAAAAAGAGAATTGCAATTTCCCCTAAGTGTATTTGATAAAAAGATAAGAAGCGTTTGTCAAATTGAACTTTTATCCAAAGGGGAGGGAGTTTAAAGAATTTTTTTTTTTTTTGCAAAAGGAAATTTATGATTTGCACTCACGTTGACTGTAAATATTTTGTACCGTTTTTCTTTGGATTAATTTTACTGATCGGACATTATTTTAAACTGTCTGACTATACTTTGACTTTTCTACTGATGCAGGAAAAAGAATAATTTCTTTTTATCCAGCAAGTACAGTGTAGAAATCTAGACGTTTTAATCTGAAAGTTAATTTAAGAAACTTAGTTTTTATGTCTGACTTTACAATATTTGTACTACTGATTTGTAAAATATATTAAGAGAATGACAAAAAAGTACCTATTGCTAAAAAAGGATTTATATTATTATTAACAAAAGAGTTTGTCACTAGTGACAAATAGATATTGCTTCGTCTGACATAACAACGGTATTTCTACTAGATCGTAAAGAAATGCAAAAATAATTTCTAAATTTTGTTTTTATAAATGAAAATTCCCTTTGTATACTATAAATACATGGTTTTTTCATAATTTTCATCATTTACAAAATCAGATGTTGCATCAACCATCAAGTGAACCTGGTAAAGTGCTGAATGCAAATTCTGCGAGTTATATTGTTAGCGGGCAATTTAGGTCAGCCGGACGTTTAGAAGTGGGGTATCGCAACGTGGTTTGAGGGGCGCAAACTCTCAGGACTATGTTCAATGTTCACTCTTAATCATATTCATTCCGCGTGACTAATATATCGCTGTCGACGATTGGCTGACCAAAACCGCCGCCACTGTGTAATTTGTACTCGACAATCCTTGTTTCTATCGCAACCATAGTCATACTCCTATAGTTTGCATTGTCAGCTCAAGTACTGTTTAGCTACCTACCTTCAATATTCTAAAATTACTCACAAAAGAGAATACCTCTTTTTAATTCTCACGAGAATTAAATTGCTCCATCCACCGGAAAAGGAAAAATAGTAATAAAATGTGTACAAAGTATTTTACAATTAAATCTTTTGCCTTAATTTCAAATGTTATTCTCATATATTATGTAAATTATATTTTAATGAAATTTCACTGACTCGACTGGTTCGTGTGATGTGTTTTTATCTAAAAACAAATTGTCAACATTTAAAGAGTTGGTTTTTTTGTCTATAGATTTTAATTCTATTTGACTCGCTTCTTGTAATTTAATTTAAAGTATTGTATAAATTAGTACTGTATGAATACTCGCTTATAAATTAATGTAGAAACAAATTATAATTATTATGTAATGAAAAGATTTATTACATGTTTTTCGAAAATATAATTCAAAATTTGTTGTAAGCCTCGATTAAATCAATATTGTACTACTGAGACTTGAACAAAAAAATTTTTCAACAGTTTTATTTCTGAAATTGTATTTTATTAGTGGTACTAAAAAAATGCGTGGGTGATTGTTCGTTCGACAATAACCATCTTTTGCTATTGTTAATCAAACGAAATTTTACTACAGCGATTGAAATAGAAGAGAAATTGGTGGTCTGACTAAAGCTAACTGTTACTACTGACCAGGAGAGAAAATATATTCGTTCACAAGAGCCAAATACAAATATATTTGTTTGAAATAAACAATAATCAATAAATAAATAAAAGAATGTAATGCATAATAATCTATTTATTATATTACAATTTTATTGCGAAGAAAATCGTAATTACCTTTTTTCGAAAGTGTAATTTCATGTAAATAAAATAGAATGTAATATTGGAGGAGATAAAAGAAGATCGAACTTTTTTAACAAGATTTTTAAAAGTGAATTGCCAACTCGGCAAAAGCGAGGTGTGAAAATTAGCAGGAAGATAAAAAAAGCCACAGAATGTTTACCTGTGTGTATATATATATATGTATATAGGAAAGAAGAAAAAAGGAAGAAAAAAGAAAGAAAAAAAGTTTTGAAAGGAGAGGAAGAGATAGAAAGAAGGAAAAAGCCGATAAAGCTTGTAGCATGGTTCGAGACAGTTATTTGCTGTGAAGGCATAGCCAATGAAAGTAGAGTGTGGGATTAAGCAAAGGAATGGTATGTACCGTTTCGCACCAAGCTTAAAATCAGCCATTTAACCGGTGTCTCACGTTTCACGGAGCGTTTAAGTTTTGTCCCGAGAGTCATTATTTCCAAGGTCTCACCGAATTCAGAATCCTCTTCCCTTCTTCTACTTTCCTTCTCCCATACACTCTCTCTTGGCTCTCTTTTTGTCGACAACTATCTCAGCTGAAATGCTGAAAATCGATTACAATTTAACGCTTTTGCGCCAATCTATTTCGTATTTATAGGGTTAGTTTAGTTTTCAGGAATACTGAAAACACTTGCGAAACTCAAGTACATCAGCGAGATTGGAATAAAGCGGATCGAATAAATGCCCGCCAGGAGCTTTCATTGTAAATGGAAGGAAAGTGGCAATCAGTTGTTCTCTGGATGGTTCTTAATAATCCTTGAAAGGCAGTAATCTGATATTGCTAGTAAGGTTCGGTTAGAGAGAATTCAAATTAAAAAAAATAAAGAAAATGTCTATAATAATGTCTGACTAATCACTTCAACTACTGCTGCTGTTTTGTTATTTTCTTCGCATATTATTCTAAAAATTAAATATTAGAGAGCAAGACATGAAAATTATTCTTATTGAACAAATGTCTACTTCATCGCATATTTGAAAATCGCTGATCAAAACAAATGTCATGAAAAAAAAACATATTTTTTTTAGTTTAAGTCGAAAATTATTTGTATAATAAAGTTATTGACTTTTATACTTTTGAACCTTAAAATATTTCTTTGGGAAGCTTTTAAAAAACTTTCATTGTATTTTTCCCACAATTACAAACAGGTACCAACAATTTTTTTCTTGGATAATTTTTTCATATTTTTTTCGTTCAAGTAGAAAAATTGTTGTTTTATTTAAAAATTTTGTAAACATTCTTTGAGAAAATTTAATTTTATTCTAAAAAATAATTGAATTTTTCACAGGAGTTCCATTATTTAAAAAAACTTTTAATAGAATCCAATTCAAAAATTCAATTATTTTTAGAAATAATAAAATTTTCGCTGGAATTCAATTATTTTAAATATAATTTTAATAAAATTCTTCTCAAAAATTCAATTATTTGATTTTATTAAAATTCTATTTAAGAATTCAATTATTTGCAGAAATAATTAAAATGTCGATACACTGAAAATCAATGAATTCTGGTAAAAAATTTATAAAAAAATTTAAAAATAATTGAATTCATTTAAAGAATTTCATCAATATTTTTTTCAATACTTGAATTCTTTTTGGAAAATGCAATTAAAATTGTATTGAAAATAATTTAATTCTTGACAAGAATTTTCTAATTTATAAAAATAATTGAATTATTTCGAATAATTTTTTATGAGAATTGTTGAAAATAATTGAATTTCTCCGAAACAGTATATTATTTCTGAAAATAATTGAATATTCCTTTGTAGAATTTGATTTTTTATGAAAATATTTTAATTCTTGCTAAGAATTTTCTTATTTATGAAAATAATTGAATTCTTGCTGAGGATTTTTACAAATCATAAATTATAATTGAATTGTTTCAAAAAATTGTATCTAAATTTTTTGAAGGAATTTTATTAATAACTTTGAAAATAATGATTTTTTTAAAGAGAATTTCATCAGAATTGTTAAAAATAATGAAATTTAATTAATATTTTGAAAAATAATTGTATTCTTTGGAGGAATTTTATTAAAATTGTTGAAAATGATTGAATTCTTGTGAAGAATTTTATTATTTATGAGAATAATGAAATTCTTGCTTAAAATTTTAGTGAAATTTTTGAATTATACAAGTACTTAATGAATGAATTCTTTATATTTTATAATAATATTATCATTCTAGCTATATATTTTCTCTAATTTGAAATGTCAAGAAGAGTGAAAAATGTAGTATGTAAAAAGGAAAATATTTTCTCCCTCAATTTAAAAAAGAAGCGGTGAAAAATCTAGAAAACCGTTCGCTAAACTAAATATTTGAACCCTATTTTGGGGTTAAAACGTGGGGTTAATAAAGTGTTTGGGAATTAGCAATGAAAAGG